TTGTCAAACTTTTGGTGTCGATCATTCGATTTCATCCTGGACACTACAGAAAATGGGCTTAAAGTGTAAAAAACCGAACTTCTCCTTTAATAGTAGACCACTGACAACAGACCAGCTTGCTGACCTGTCAAGCCCAGAGTCCTTGACACCAAACCACATACTTACTATGAAATCCACAATTATCACCCCACTTTCAGGGAAATTTGTCTAAGAGGAACTTTACATTCAGAAGAGGTGCTGTCGTGTTGCACTGCTTGCTAACACTTTCTGGACAAGGTGGGGGGGGCGTGGATATCAGAAGACTCTACAATGTAGACAGAAATGGGCTAAGGAGCAGAGAGATGTCAAATTAAATTACATTCTTCTCTTGCAGGATGACATGTTCCTTTGATACCAGTGGAAACAAGCCAAGATTGTTGAGGTATATCCTTCTAAAGATGAAAGAGTGAGGAAGGTCAAGTTACTTATTTGTGATTCAGCTCTTGATAAGAAAAGGAAGGCGCATGTCGAAACCAATCCACCTTGTGAGGCCGAATGAGAAGGTAGTTGTTCTGTTGGAAGTAGAATGAAGATGTTTAACCCCACACCGCCATTTCAATATTGGTAGTTTAGGGAAGGCTAATAAATAGCTCATTATTTATAATCAGTTTATTTTCAAATGTTTGTTATTCAGAATAGTAGGTGATTAGTGGGAGTGTAGCAGGCTCCCATGGTATTTTCTATTATGTTTTTCCCCACATTCACTTAGTGCCAGCGGGTGGTTACTAAGGTAGGAACTCATTATTATAGCATTAAGGTTCCACACAGCACCAATTATTCATGCTCAGTGAAAGCAGACAGCCTGTCGCTATCCGTCCCGGTAGAACAATCCGTACCATCAGCTAATTTGCATATGCGCAACCGGATATACATCCGGATGTTGATAAATATTGTAGTTATGGTAAAAAAAATCATTTCTTTCTATCCTTAACTCACTAAAGATGGCTAATACCCATCTTTAAAAATGTTTTCTGAGACAATTTTGATGCTTTTTACATTACACTGCTTCTCTGGCATCAATGGAAATGCTAAGAGCGGTCCGGCAAAATATGATTGACCATGTTTAACCCCATTTTAGTTGTTTCTTACTTTAGATATACACTATATACCATAATGTTAACATGAAAGGAAAACGTACAACTCAAAAAGTATATACTAAATTTATGTTGAAATCCAAAGCCAAAAAAGTCAGCTCCCGGAAGTGGCATAGGATTCCATTTCAGGTGCAGACGAGCGATAAAACAGAAAGGATTTTAAGGCATTTATTTTCAAAGGAAAACACATCATTAGCCTTTAATACATCATAGTTAAGCATGCTTACTATTTTTTGGGAGGGAAAAACATTATTTAGGTCTTTTTTGCAAAATAAAATCTGATTGAGCATGCGAAAATAAGCAGATGGTATGAATCGTGCTTCCGGGTCGGATCAGTTAGTGACACAGCTATTTGCCATACTACTGAGAAGGCAGAGTAAAGAAGACGCATAAACTTTTAGGCCCTTGTGGATGTCAGCTCATGTGGTTTGTCTCTCTTTTGTTTTATATACATTATTTGTTGATGGCAAGGTTACATGCTATTTTTAATTGTGTTTGTTTTGATTTCTTTTTGTGACCAGTTCTCACCAGTTGCCAGGAACAAGAATAAACCATGTCTTTCTCTAAACTTGGCGCCATGGTATTCCTTGAGGGTGTTACGCTCTACTTCTT